GAACATGTGTCTAGTAGTACAGTTTACGTAACTAGAAGAGTGTTCCAAAGTTCTAGACTGAGCTGAGTTTAATATTGACGGACAGATGGAGAGAGGCATGGCTAGCCTGACCATTAGGCAGCATATAAGGCAGTTGCTAACAGGCAGCAGAGCCCGGGAAAGTGCAGCTAGGTGTGGGAGGAGACAACTGCCTTTTAAGGCAACTGCTCAGTGTGCCTTCAGCTGGGATGCTGTTGCTGCTGCCCAAATGTCAAGGGCTAGGCCAGTCCATGGAAGGAACAGGACAACTTCAGTGAGAATCGTCTTGTTTTTCACTTCCAGTAGCAAATTGTCTTAGTCCAGTCCTGATACACATAGGTTAGTGGACAGACAAACATATACAAGGGCAGGTATGATCCACAGTGGAAGCAAATCAGCTGCCTGGTTCCCAAATGCTGGATCTCAGTCACACTCTGTTAAATCCCTGCAATCAGGATTTCTTCAGAAACTTCGTGGCTCAATCCATACGGCAGCGCCCCCCCCCCTTTAGTGTTAACAGTGTTGTATGGCTGGTGGAATGACTCAGTGAAATGAAAGCCTTATCACAAGCTGTCTTTTTGGCACTGACATGCCACCTAAGCCGTGGCATGCCTCAGTCAATAAAGGCAGGATGTGATATGCCTAACAACTCAGTGACAAGATTTCCTCTAAAAATTCCATAGTGTTTCTGTCCTCTGATAGTTTCTGTATCGTGCTGTTCCCTCACAGATTATAACAGAAGAATATTAAATTCTCTGTCAACTTTGTACAGCCAGATGGGTGGGTGTGCATGCACCAGAGAGAGAGAGTGATTTGGGGTTAGTCAGTTTCACAGGAAGTTATGAAATAAATTGTAGTGCTATAATGAGGTACTTATAACATCAAAGGCACAAAGTTTTTTTAAAAAAATGCTCTTCCGAAGGAAGGAAGGAAGGAAGGAAGGAAGGAAGGAAGGAAGGAAAATAACATAAAATAAAAACTAAGAAAGAAGTGCAAAGGACAGCAGTTGTGTATTAAGAAGGCAAAATCTTGACTGTGGAAGAATTACATAACTTTAACGGTGACATCAAGGAAAGTTGTCAAGGATTTTCTATACCACATCTCATCTTTTAATTCCAGTGGAGTCAAGAAATCAAAAGAAGAGACTGAGACTCAGAAAGGCACCTATGAAGGAACAAGAAAGCTCCTCAAGTGTAGGATATGTCAGGCCAAGATAAATATCATCTGTATTCCAAATTACTATCCATGGATGAGTAAAATGAACCGGGGGGGGGGGACAACAGGAAAAAAATCCATCTACAGTGGTACCTTAACTTAAGAACTTAATCCGTATTGGGACTGCGTTTTTAACTTGAAATGTTCTAAAGTCGAAGCACCATTTCCCATAGGAATGCACTGAAAACCATTTAATACATACCTGCTGTTTTTCATTTTTAAGTCAAGGCGCTGTTCTTAAGTCGATGCATTAGTTCCCATAGGAACTAATGCAAAACTGGTTAATCCATATCTACAACTAGGGGGTGATTTTTTAAATTTTTTCTTCTTTTGGCCTAAGGTGAACTTAGGTCAAAAAAAGGGCAGAAAAGGTGGTGGTTTTTTTTTTCTTTTTTTGGTTCTTAAGTCTAGGCTCTGTTCTCAAGTCGAAGCAACTTTTTGCAAATGAAGCCATTCTTAACGCAAATCGTTCTTATAAGTCGAGGTACTGCTGTATTTCTAGGATTTTTCTTTTAATATTCGAGGATGCAGTGTTGGAATAAGACTTTATGGATATAAAGGACCCTCAGAAGGACAAACAGGTGAGTCCTAGATCAATTCAAGCCCAAAGTCAGAATTTACTAGATTGAGGCTACTGTACTTTGGGCACATTTGGAACAGAACAATAATGTTGGGAAAAGTTGAAGGCAAATGACAATGGAATGTAACATTCATTGGCTAAATAAAGGAAGCTATGTCCTTCAGTTTGCAAGAGATGACTGGTGCTGTTGAGGATAGGGCCAGGGGTTATTAAGAACAGGTCACTAATTTGCAGGGTTGCCATAAGTCAGAAGCAGCTTGATTGCACATAACAACAAGAAAGATCCATTGGGTTCAGTGAAGAAGGTTTTGATTTTATCACTGAAAACCATGAATACATCATTTGGAAAACATGGAATGGAAGCTGAGTGTCATTTGGTGAAATTTTTGTGGCAGACGACTGCTGCAATGATCTTGGGCTGGCAGAGTAACTGAACAGTCTACAAGGAAATTCTAAAAATGGGGGACACCCAAATAAACAAACAAAAACTTTTAAACAGGGCTTCAGATCAGCACTAAATTTAGCCCAGTTGTAGCAATTTATTCTAGTTCTGTGCCATAACTGGAGATGTTTCGGAAAGGAATTGAGTTATGGTATTTTAAAAGTAAAACTGTGTTACACCCCATTTAGTAAAAGGCAATCTTACTTGAAGGAGAATGGTTGGCCCCACCCATGTTTTATTTGAAAAGAATCCAGGTTGTAGGGGTTGAAATAGTGGTCCTCAAGAAAGGATCTTTCAAATACAAGAAGCATCAAATTTTTTTATAATGCTGAGCTTGCATGGAGTAGACTTGCTAGCAAGAGCTTTGCAAAGTAGATATATTGTTCCAGCTTCTTGGGTGGGAAAGGGAAATATTTGGAGAATTATAGGGCAATTAAAGGTCGCAGAAAGCAAGAATCAAAAGACAGGTTTTATTTAAAAAGTCTTCTAAAAAACCAGATTCGTTTTAAAGAAAGTAATGGAGTGATAATCCTCCATAAAAGGGGATATTTTGCCATGTATCACCCGGGAATTAACATAGAATTTTCTAAGGCATTTCAAATTATTTTTGCATTACAAAAGCACAAAGCAGTTGTGTTTGTCTCAGATGTGAGTGCTTTCAGTAAACATTGTCTCAGGTTTTCTGAGACAGAACTCCTGACAGGTTTTTTCAAAAACAAAATTGTTAGGTTAGCTCAGCTAATGCCTGAATTCCCCCCCACCCCCAAATCCTCTAAAGTCTCATAGACTTCCAGGCAAAAATCAGAAGCCTGTGTTAGTCACATCTGGAATCTACCCAATAGAACTCAGTCACATACAATCATATCAAATCATATCAAAAGTGCTCTGAGTATCAGTTATTTCATTGTTGCGATAATTTCAGCCATCAGGTTGCCTAACTCCATAAGCTTTGTTTATCTGCACTGTTTATATGTTCCACCCGTACAAAAGTCTTCCAAAGTAACATCAAAATGTATTGAAAACAGTCGTACACTTGTGAGAAATACTGTAGACACAAAGTAAAACTCCTTCCTGGCAACATATGAACGAGGATTTCCCCATGCTTGGTGTCTCTTTGTGAATGGTAGCGAGTCGAAGAGACCATCTTAACTGCTGCCATTAGTGTTGTCAACATTCAGGCTGCCCTTTGCTATGCAAAGTTTGACATCCTTTTTCTTTCTCCTGCTGGCAACATGGGCACAATATTATACAGCAATACCAGGGCATTTCTTGGCTTTTTGAGTCATGGATACAGAAGCACAATATCCCATATTGATAAACCAGAGGTTTCTTGAAGAATTGAATAGAACAGTTATATCCATGAGACAGCTAACCACATGCTGAAATCACTGCCAGTGAAAGACTTAAGATAGTGACTTTCACTGGACTGTACACTTGAAGTATAAACTGGGACGTTACTGGCCGCAAGGGACCAAGGGGCCTTTGGAAAGCAACTCTCAAACTCAGTGGCCTGATTTAGAGAAAAAAGGTGAGGTTTATTCAGGTAATGGGAAGAATTATGAGGACTAGATTATTATTTATTGCATTTATCTTCCACTTTACATTCCACTTTAGCTCCAGGAAGCTTGAGATTATATATAAAGTACTCCCTCCCACTCCCCAACCCCTCTGACCTCAATGATCAGAGATATAAGGACCTATACATATAGAAGCAGAAAAAGGGAAGTTTTTAATTTTCCAGTTACCCCATATCAGTAAGTGGTTAAAACTTCTGTATAAACCACTAGTGATGTGGGGAAATTGGAAACCAGTCAGCAAATTGAAGCTTCTTGCTTCAGGTTCTTGCTTCAATTTGCTGTCTAGCATTGGTTCGTTTCCCGAGATGACACGTACTAGAAATGAACCAAAACAAACTCATCCTATCAGCACCAAAAAGTAGAAGCTCTGCTAGGGGCCAGAAGGCTGTTGGCTGAAACACTCTGGATGTGTGGGTGGGTTGGTCTGCTCCAGCAAATATTTTGTCAGATCACCAGGTTTAGGAGCAAACCAGCTGATCCCTGCTGCAAACGAAGCAGCAGGCTAAATGCCCATGTAATCATCATCCCTTGAGTCCCTCCAGTCACAAAATGGCAGTAGATGGTGGTGGAGTGTAGCCTTGTCATCTGCCAATTTCTGGTACAATTTTAGCTAATCATCCAATTCCTCTTTAGAAATCGATGGACTCTTTGCCATAACAACATCCTGTCTGAAAGCAGACGGCCAAAGGCTGACATATGAGAACTTAACAGAAGGTCTTCTAAAAGTACATAAGGTAAATCGTAAATAGTCTGCAACTTTCAGAAGTGAAGAGTAAGAACTCCCCCCACCCAATCAATACTGTTCATTCATAAAATACCTAACTGGATGCTAGTACAAAAGAGCTGCATATTCATGGCCCCATTATGCTGTGCTAACTCCATGTCAATGGTTTCAGCTCTGCAGTGCCAACTGAATGCAATGAATATCCCTAATGAAAAAAAATCTATTTCCAGATCTGGTGAAAGAGATGTATCATCATCAGACAGCTTACTGTAGAAAGCAGGCATAACAGAAGCAGACATTTGGGCGTGCTTAGTAATGTTGCACTTACAAGAACTGTTCAAATATTTGAAAACACTGGGAAAGCATTCATCCTGATTGCTCTTCCCTTATTACTGTATCTGATGGATTGATTTTATCTTCATTTTCTTAAATCGTCTATGTGGTGACGTTTCTCCTTTTTTCCCTATGTTAACAGCATCTTGGAGCTGGATCATGGCATTTCAACAAAGGGTCTGAACAAGCAGAGAGGCATGGCAGGGGTCCTGAGCCCCACACTAGCTGCTACGTTCGTAGACTGCCCTCTGCATTATGTATAAGGATGCCACAGAGCAGCAGCAGGGTGCCAGCAAAAGGATCTAGGAAACAAAAGCAACCATTTAAAACATATAAAACAATGCTGAAAATATCAAAACATAACTTACAATAACGAAGAGCCCAAGCTATGATCCCTACACCTTGAAACCTTGGATAAATAGCCAAGCTTTCACTTGGCATTGAAACAAGACCACAAAGGGCATCAGCTGGACTTCCAAAGTTTGAGAACACCCTATAATACTACAGTATAATTCTCACTAGGTGTCCGGTTTGAGAACACCACTATAATACATACTACAGTATAATTCTCACTAGGTGTCCTACAGGAGAGCATTAATATCATGGAATAGTCAAAATGAAAAACAGGCTTTAGTAGCATCTATGTTACCAAACTGCAGATCTGTGGTGTGGTCATATCTACAGTTGCATAGCTATCATTTGTGCAGTCTAACTGATCCATATCTGTGGAGGGAAGTCTACCTGTGGTTAATGAATGGGCTTAGTCACAGCTAAAGGGAGGGTTTTTCTCTTTATGGAATCAAAGTGTAGCACTTCTCATATTTACTTGGGATGGAACTTATGGTTCAAGAGGATTATGTAGCAAAGTTCTGAGTGAGGATGGAAGGGTGTTTGATGGGCTCTTTAATTTCCCTTGCTGTAGAGGAGGTAGAGGCAACTGTAGCTTTTTTGCTTTAAGCCCAAGTTTCCTTCTCTTTTGGAATTTCCCCACTGATTTTCCAATCAGAGAAACCCCTAGATCTCTTGAGCAAAGGAAGTCTGTCTTTACTGAACAGGTTTTTTTTAAAAGCCAGTATTTCAACAAAACAAACAGTCAGCAGCAGCATAACATCTTGGACCTACCAACTTTTCCCAACTGATCTAGCTGGAGTGCTAGGGAAACACCTATTTATGGCTGGAAGGGATATTTCATTTAAATCTGTTTTCTACACGCAGAAGCCCAAATGATCCAATGTGTGTGACTTATACATTTGTCCCCCATAGGGCATTGGTCTGCTGCTCTAAATCTTGTGCTGAGAACAGATGTATTGCACCCAACACTAGCCTTAAAGAGGATAGGGTAGGAAAACCATAATTTTTACCCACAGTTAGACTATCTCTATTTGTATCTGACATTCATAAAAACAGGATTCTGTGAGCCCACAGTGAAAATTCCTGTTGGCAACAATGAGACAATCTCTGGCATATGTAACTGAAGCTAGAGACTAGGTAGAGTTGCCTGTCCATTGAACTGTCATGCCCTGTGTTTGCAAAGATAGTTCTAAGCAAAGAACACTTTACATATTTTTATCTCTACCAATTTTTATTCTTGCTGGGAGATGCCCCGAGTCTCAATTTTGGAAGAAATGCATGATTAAAATAAAATAATAAATAAATGTAACCCCATTTTAACTATGTGGTTCCTGATGCAGCTCAGACTCCTACATGCTTACTTTGCAGTAGGAAGAGAGACGTCTACATACTTAATTTTATTTATTTCTTTATTTATTTTATTTATTTATTTTGTTCTTATGTACTGTCAGGTTGCATTTAAGTTATGGTGCTCCTAGTATGTATGTATGTATGTATGTATGTATGTATGTATGTATGTATGTATGTATGTATGTATGTATGTATGTATGTATGTATGT